GACTGTTAGAGATTGTTGGTGGAAAACCTCCTCAAGGCATACAAAAGCCTTGGTTGCAACATGTCACTAAAAATACATTTTTTGCACTCTCATCTAGATTTTTTTTCCACTGAACTGTGGAGCAGTGAACGACGAGCATGGCGAGCGATTTCACCAGGACATTGCAACAATGGAGAAACGCTATCAGGGCAAATGGAGCCCATCAATGCTTGCAGACTATTGCTGGACAGTGACAAGAGATGCTCCATTTAATGAATACAAGAGACAAGCCAAAAAGCGCTGAGTAGACACTGAATAGGACTAAACTATGTACATAATAGTTTTTTGCCTTTTGTTTCATAATAAATTTTATTTATATAACCCTTTTGCTGATTTTTAAAGTGTTCCATAAACAGGACAGGTGAAATATTATCATGTAAAGCAACCATAAACACATGAAAAGACCTAGGTTTACAATTTATGATTAAAACTCTACTATCTACACAATATACATAAACATAAAATGCAAAAACTTAAATATCTTAGAAACAGTAGCCAATCAGTTGTTTTAATTGTCATATTTGAATTCAGCACATCAAAATACATAATAAATAGCACATTTTATCTCTGAAGCAGACGACTTCTCAAAAATTGTAGACCAGTGTATTTAAAGATGCAGTGCACAAAGTTTTTCAGCGTTTCATAGCTATCTGCACCAAGCAGATTAGCAAAGTCTTCAACTGGCGTCAGGTATCAGCCTAGTGCTAGAGACAGCAAGCCTCTGGGGGAGGTGGATTAACTACGCCAACACGGGAGAGCTCTCTCTCCCCTCAGTGTAGAGCATCTTCATTAAAGTGCTATAGCAGTGCAGCCCGGGAGCTTTTGGATGAATATTGTTTTGGGTAGAGGTGTGTGTGTGTGTGTGTGTGTGTCTGTATATGTATGTATGTATGTATAAAGAGAGAACATACAGAAACTGAGAACAGACACGGACCGAGAGAATAGTGCACAGTAGCCTGTGAAGAATGTGACCCTGGATAAAGCTAGAAAGAGAGAGCTTTTGAGTCGGTGCACAAATTAGCCCAAACGGGAGGGTTTCTCGATGTCTCAAAGGGTTATCTGGTGAGTGACTGGTCCTGACAAAATGAGTGACCCATTTATGGACTCCACTAATTTGGGGGTGGGGGTGCTTATGCTGGGTGGGTGTCTTGTGTGCTCGGGTGAATGCCAGATCTCTGAAATTGCCTGAGGCACCTGAGTCCACCAGCACCTCTGGGTTGAGTCAGGCACCAAAGGGTGCCAGAGCCAGAGAGGTGGAATTGGAGATGTGTTGGCGTGAGCTGCTGGGGAAAGGGGAAGGGCACCAATCCAGCTCTGATCCCACGACTGGAGTTAGGGTTTCATGTTTACTGACCAGGGCACAGACTGGACCTTGGCAGGGCAGCTTGATGCAAAGCTTCCTTGTGCCCTGCAGTATAGGCATAAGCCTGATGCCTGGTGTTGATTCTTCTCTGACCATGTCAGAGAGGCGGGGCTAGACCTGATCAACTCGAAGGGTTTCAGCGACCGAGAAGGGACTGGTGACTGGGAGTGTGGGGGTGCGGATGGATGGACGACACAGAGCCAGCTGGGCTGGGGGAAGTCAGCAGAAACATCTTTTTCCTTGGCGGTGTTTGGTCAGGCAGTCAGTGATCTTGATGCATCGGTCAACTGAGGCGACCAGGCCAGATGGGGATTCCACCCATGCCAGTTCATCTGTAGTATCATCATTAAGGCTGAGCCGCAAATGACAATGCTGGGCACCCTCATTCCATTCAGTATCACTACTATGCGCTGGCACTCTGCTGCATATTTAGCAACTGGCCAGCATCTCTGCCACAACACATGAAGTGCAGTTTTGGCCACATGCATTGAAGATCATCACTGTAGCTTGAACAAAGTCGTCAAATTATCCCAGAAGCGGGCCTGATTTTCCTGGAGTGGAGCCACCTGAGCAAGGGCCTTCTGAGTAAGCAAGCTGATAATCAATCCTGCTGAGGCTTGGTCAGCAAGATACAACTGCGGGTGGAGCAGAAATAGGAGCCAACACTGATTTAGGAACCCATAAAATTTGTCTTGATTGCCATTGAACTGGTCAGGTCAGAGGAGCAGGGGTTGGAGATGAAGGTGATATGGCGTAAGCTTGCGGGACTACATTAGAGAAGGAGTCATGCCCAGGGGTTA